ATTTTAGAACATTCTGGAAGAAAAGCCCCGAGTCAGTTCTTTTCTTCCAAAATGTTCTGAATTATTAAAATTATAATTATTAATTTAGAAAAGAGATGGCACCTAACATCTACCTCTAATAGCACATTTATTTATATTAATTAATTAACTATAGCCTGATCATTTAGGCGATTGTTGGTTGATTATAATTACTCATCGGGCTTTGGGATGTGTATTATATGTATATATGCCTCAAAGATCTTCAAACTGTAGCATTTGGGCCCCAGAAGATTTCGTTGATTTGCCTAAAATTCTGATATGGATTCATACCCATATTTATCCTTGGACTATTCTTCAAAAGAAGTTAGTCTTAATGGGCCTGTGACATGGTCTAGAAGCTATTAAAGAATTAATAGTGTAATTACAGCTTGAATATCCAGCTTGTAGTTATTTGCTATTAATAAAAATCTTTGTTATTGATTATTCTTTCTTGCTAATACTATTTTGATCACTGAAAGTGAGATATAGTTTTAGTTAGAACATGTTCTGAATAGTTAGTTACTAAATTAAATTTTAACAGTTAATGCCTGAATGAATAATAATTTTACCAAGATAGAAAGCTGAAGGAGTTTATTGAAATATTAATAAGTTGTTATTAAGTGCAAAAATCACTACAAAAAATGTCAAAACTTTAACCATGATATATATGCACCTTTATTTGAATTCAAATTTTAATCTCTTGAACAATACATTAAGAACAGAATAATTATATTTTACTATTTTTTAAATTTTAATTAGTATTTTAGTAAATTTTAATTTTCTTATTTACAATTTTTACATAATGAAACACATTGTTAAGTAATAAAAAAAAATTGAAAATTGGTTTTCTTTCTGTGGAAGTTTCTTTAAAATTATCCCTTAAAACAAGTAAGCTTTACAGCTAACTTTAAAAGAAACATGAATTATTAATTTGTGATTTCTCAAACTATCACAAGTGTAAATAGGATATTGTAACTTCTTCCACGACTTCTAGCTATCTAAATGTTCTCCAAATATTCACACACTCACACAATACAATTATTCGAAAATTTTACCATTGTGCACTATCTTTAAAAGTAAATAAAATGTTATACATGTTGAACAGGATTTAACTTTTATAACATAAGTGATTATTATTTTATCACAAGAATAATATTAATTTTAAGGATTATGATAAAAAGATATTTACAATTATTTTAAAGATATGAAAAAGTTTTCCATTTATTGATTATAATTATAAATCAAGGTTAAATAGCATAAAATCAGATTAAAGCAATAATATACATGTATATATTTTGTCTAAAGGCTACTTTCTTTGATATTAAAAGGATTATAGAAATTCAGAAATTTACAAATACCATTAGAATATATATTTCAAATTTTGTGAGAACTAAATGTAAAAATTAAATTTGACTAAGGACGACAAATTAGTCGAACGAGATTAGTGCACCCTCTGACGAATTTTGGGAATCCGCAGAAGGTTGAGGGGGTTGAGATGGAGGAGGCTGCTGTTCCGATCTGCTAGGAGGGGACATGGGCGGATTGGTTGGAGAGACAATCTGGTGCCCGGGCATTGCATTTGGTCCTGGCTGAGTCACCTGCTGGGGCAGAATTGCCCTTGGTGCAGAATCGATTGGACCCCGGGGTGGATTCATGACTCCTGGGGGAACGGACGGAATCGGACCGGGACCTGGAGGAGCGGCAGCAGTGGTTGCAGTTCCTGGAACAGGAGGATACTGACCCATTTGAGGAAATTGAGGATGACCACTTGGAATACCTGTATAAATAAATTTGATTATAAAATTAAAAATATAATAATAAAGTGGCTGCAATTATTTTTGAAAATACTGTCTTGTTTATAAAATCGTACTGCCGTTTTATGTTACCAGCATAGAGGTATGAAGGAGTACATGTCGAGAGTTTTTAAGAAATTAAATTTATCATATTGCTCATACTATTAAATAGTTCAAGGAAATTCCAGGGTTAAAAAATGTATTATTTCAATACCTTGCATGTTAAAAGGTTGAGGTTGAAATTTTGCTTGGTTAGATGGAACCATAGCAGGATTTGATGGACCAAATGATCCAGGAACAAATGGAGGGTGTGCAGGAGAATTGCCACCGGCAGTCCCTGGAGGTGGCATTCGATAGTTGACATTAGATGGAGGTGGCACATAAGATGGCTGCGGAGGTGGTGGAGGACCAGAATACACAACAGGTGGAAGTTTGGTTCCCTGCTGCATGACCTGGTACTGCTGTTTTTGTTGTTCTTGCCTTAACTGCATTTCACGTTCTTGTTCTTGCATTCGTTGTAGAGCTAACTGTCTTTGATATTGCAAATATTCCTTTAAAAGAAAAGCATTTTTTTAGTAATTGCAATAGCATTTTTTTAGTAGTTATAAGAACTGATTTCTAGTCTAAAATTAAGCTAATTTAAAAAAATTTTAAAAGTGTGACTCATTTAAATTCTAAATAAATAATAATTGACAAAGGATTTCAAAATTATGATAATTATATTGAATCTTTGACAATAGTAGCTAAATGCTCAAAAAATCTTACAATATATGCCAAATTTCTATGGCAAAAATTCATTTTCATTATTCCAAGAAAACATTAGACTTAAATATATAAATTAACTTTTAGGGCTAGGGTTTATAAGCAATTAAATAATTTATTATTATTCCTAATACTTAGATGAACAAAAGAACACTTTCCCTAATTTTACAAATTATTAATTTTTAAATAATATGTCAATTATAGCATAAATCATAATTCCTAATACAAAAATAAATTTATACTAGTTATTTTTCCTTTACATAAATATCCAAATTTCGTAGTTCTCTTTGTAAACTGAAAATATTGCAATTGAGTACTCATTAATTTTGAAAGTTTTAACATTGTTAATGCTTTTATGCAATGAAACAAAAACATTTTAAAATACATCTGTGATTTCTTATTTTTGAGTTGAAAAAAACTGAAAAGTTAAAGCTTTACAAAAATGCATATCAAAGCTTCATAAAAATATTTTAAAAAGTTAAATTTTTTGCATACTACATTCTTTAAGAATTTATAAATTCCTCACAAGTTATTTTACTATAGTTATCAATGTTGATTTACAGACCTGTTTCTTTTTTCGCATAATTTCTAATTTATGAGCCATTTGTATTTGACGTTGTCTTTCTGCTTCTTCGGCTTCTCTTCTGCGATGTTCTCTATGTTCTTCTCTAAGGGAATCTAAAGCTGCCCTTGCGTCACGAATCTGAGCCAATTTATCTTGAAGACCTTCATATTGTACTAAAGGAATAATTTAAATTCAGCTTTTTTAATGCAATAATAAATAAATATATATACTCAAATACACTTTAATTCCCTTACCTCTTAAATCATCTTGTTCTTGTATATACTTTAGAAGTTGGGAATGCATATTAGTAATATTCATAAATAAAGATTGAACATAGGTATCATTTGCTAGCGGTCGGCCTCTACTTGAATTGCTTTTCATGCGATTGACAAATATTTCTAATGTGCTCCGAAGATTGAACAGAAATTCTTGCATTTTATCCATTTCACCATTTTGAAATTTCTGAAAATGATAAAATAAAAATCTTAATGCAAAATATATGAATATTTCTAAACACTGTTCTAAATTTTCTAATCTGTTTATAAGCTTAGTGAATTCTAAATACAGTGGAATCTCAGTATAGGACCTTAATCATTTCCTGATGTTTGGACTTAACGAATAGGACATATACTAAACCAACCTTTCCCATAAGAAGTAATGTAAAACTGATTAATCCGTTCTCATGTAAAAAAAATGGCTGGCTTTAAACACCTCACTTTCATGGCTAGTTCCTGCTTGATTTTTCATGAATCAGCATGCATCTTTTTAGCTTTCTCGCAAATAATTGCTTCTGATATGCTGTCGCCAGCACACTGTTTTTCAGTTATCCAAAGCAAAAGCAATTTCTCAACACGATCTAATGTCTTCGATCTCTGTTTAGAAATTGATTTAACCCCTTTCGCAATGTTAGCAGATTTAATAATGTCTTTATTTTTCACGATTGTTGATATCGTCATTCTCGGAATACGGTATGCAACAGTTAAAATCTCAAACACACATGCCATCTTCGTATTTCTTAACAATCTCTTTTTTCAGTTCCATTGTGATTCTAGTCATTTTTTTAGTTTTCTGTTGCTTTTCATTATTCATGATTAATAAAAAATAATAAAATTTTACTTACAAATTAAAATCAAAAGAAATTTAACAAAGTTATAAACCGTGGCACTGTGAATGCCTAGTATGGTCTAGTAAACCAATAGTGCTACTTGTTCATAGATGGCGCGTATAATTGAATTAAGTCGTATATCAAGCAAAATTTGTTTTGTCCAAACACGACATATTGTAAAGCAAACAAAGCATTTCATATACAACTGTATATGAAATGGCCAGTAGCAATATAGTTTTATTTATGAAATATTAATACATATACTTGCAAATAGATCTACTCAATATTGATTCATAACACTATGCTCTTAATTAGTCTGTTACAAAAGTATAGGAACACCATAAATTTTGTTTTTCAAAATTTATTTTGGAATTATTACTGGAAATATTATTAATTATTTTTTATCATTACTTTAATTATTTTATCAGGTTTTTTTACATTTCATAAAGCAGCATAAATTTTCACAAATATTCATTTTTTGATGTGTTATAAAAGTATATATATATACCAATTAAAATTATCATGATTAGGGTGAGATGTCATCATTTTTAACTGTCATGGTGGCTTTTCAAGAATGTTCTATTGAATTTTATATAAACATTTTCAACAATATCTCATGGAACTGTACTTCAGGAGCTAGAAATACGTAAAATTTATTATTTGAGTGGTTCAGGCAAGTCTTGAGGCAAATTGCTGTTGCTGTAAATAGATCTAAGAATGCTATTGAACTGTTTTACAACAAGGTAAAAATTATGGACCAAAAAAAGTCATAACAGCCTAAATGTTTAACATGCAGGAATTGAGACAAGTTTTGAAACTAATAAAAATAAATTTTATTAGTTATAAGCTTATTTTTTAAAAAACAGTTTTTCTTTTATTTTATGAAAGATCTGCAAATGCTTGCCAATTACTCAATACCCACACTTTTCCCCATAGGAGCTAAATTTTCTACGATTGAAAAATTTCTCCCCATGTGACAACCTTGGAATGCACATGTACACTACATTTTACCTAGTACATTACAAAAACCAAAAAATAAAATGAAAAGCATAAAAATGTGATACAACAGACTGAAAATGCAATACAGTGTGTTATCACAATTATCCAATCACAACTGAAATACTATTTTAAAAATTATTCTCCTCAATTTTATTTCCTTTTTCTTACCTCTGTTAATTTCTTGGGTGCTTGACTTGTTACAACTGTTGAAGGAGCACTAGGTACAGGACTTGTTCGAGTATGAGGAAGACCTTCTTGCTGTTTCTTTTCCCAGAAAGAACGGTTCAAATAATGAGCCAATTCAGATTCTGCAGCATTATTTGAAGACTCCTTAAGAGACTCATTACTAGTTTCCTAGTTATACAATTATAATCTGTATTTAGTATATCAGCTTGTTTTCAGTTAATATTTTTACATACACAACATGCATACATATATTTGAATCAATAAAATTAATACAGATCGAGAAACCTTTATCTAAAATGCTTGGAATTGAAAGTGTTTCGGATGTTGAAATATATGTATATTTATATCTGATTTGATTTATATTTGTTTAATTTTACTTCTTTCTGTTATTTATTTAGGGATTTCTATTAATTTTCAGATAAAAAATTTTCACACATCTATGTGAATATGTTTTTTTAAAATTGTCTACTATAGATAAACAATATTCTTTCACATACCTACTGTAGAGATGTGAAGATGTTTTTAAAAGATATTCACATAGTTGTATTAAAGTAATTTTAGATATGCTCACAAAATTGTTAATTGATCTGAAAGAATAGTCTTTGTTTAAATTTTAAATATGCTTTGATAAACTTGTTAAAAATTAGTTGAACTACTAGGAATATAAAAAAAGCACATATCTTGTGTGTGTGTGTGTGTGTGTCTTTACACACACACCTCAAAAGTGAAATCAGAACACCCTGAAGGAATGCACATAGCCACATGTAAATTGCAGGACCAGTATAGGTGACAGAGACATGCAAATGATTAAGTTTGCATTCACATCAGGTCATATGGTCACCATTCTGAAGATCAGCATCCAGCTTGGGCTGTAAGTACTATCAGTGACAGTTTGTGGCAGGCAAATTTTTGAAGAAATGTAGAAAATGCCTCAGAGACAACAGTGAGCTGACTGTCACCAGTTAACAGCTGGAAAATAAGACTGTATCCTAGAACTGTATGACCTTGGCTTGGTTTGTGAAGGTGCATAGTTGTCCTGTGTTGGGTATAATGTGAGTACCTTTCAGCAATGTGTGACACAATGGACACAGAAACATCTGTGAACACACAGAAGATGGAGTCTATTGCACCAGTGCACAACAGAGCGCACAGACCAGCAGATTCACCAAACAGCCCATCAGGACTCATTCATCATGGCATGTGACATCCAAAGCTGCCTGTTGCCATCATAGGGGTGCATCTGTGTCCACCAAACCATTCACAACAGGTTGCCAATGACCACTAGACAGAGCTGCTTGTCTGATGTGATTTTGTCATCATCACAACTGGACCAATGAATAGCATTAGGTATTGTTTATGAATAAATCCTGCTTCTGTCTATGGAGGAATGATGGCTGTGGCATTATCCTAGGGAAGGCTAGTGTCGGCCATTTTCACTGAGTGTCACACTGGCCCCATACCCAGTCATCGTGGTTTGGGAAGTCATCATGTTCGATCAATGGACAATTTTAGAAGTTTAAAGTTTATCAGCTGGACAACCAAAAATAATTGTTCAGGATACCTGGCAAAAAAGGGCCTGAAGAGAACATTGAAATGTTCCACAAAGCATTGGGAACATTGAAATGTTCCCAATGCTTTGTGGAATTTTCCACTTGTGGCATGTCATATCAGCACACAAAAAATGTTTGGATTTTGGATCTTTTTTGAATCTTGGATAAAGTATTGTCAATGTGTACTAAAATTACATCTAATTCACATGAAGAAATGTTCATTTCATCTAATTTGCAAAACACATTTTTCAAATAAAAATAAATAATTATACACAATATAATGTGACATTCTGAGGAGGGGTATTTAAGTAATTAAATTAACTAGTTAAAATGGAAGAGAAGGGAAACCCCACCCCCTAGTCTCCATGTTGATCTCTAGACCAATAGAGAATGGCAGTCGAATATTGCTACAAGTCACTGATTGTTACAATGTTTGGACTGATGTTATAAACTTAGTCGAAACTGTCAAGTGAATAAAATTATGAGGTAAGGAGTCATAACACCATCGGTTGACTTGTTGATATTTACCCAACAGTCCGATTCATGATGTCCCATGTCGGCCGGACCCAAGTAATAAATCAAGAATTACATGATAATTCTCCTGCACTAAAAATGTATCACACCCGATCATCAGGGCAGACATATGCCAAAGCTAGAGATCATCTCAGCTCATCTCTCCATGATCAGTCAGACACCTACAACAGACATATTTCGATGACCCATGCACAACATTCCACCCACCAATACCTACATCGTCAATTTCATCTCCTCCTGACCCCCCCAGTCTTAGATCGCCAACCGTCCAGCTGACATCGCATAGAAGAATCTAAGAGCTATGAGGTGTCATCACGAGGTATTTTACTTAAAAAGTTTATAAACTCTCTCTCTCTCTCTCTCAGTGAAGAAGTAGATTAGACAGGAATGCGTCTCGCAAGTGACCTACAAATTAAGCCAGTTGCACCATATATGTTACCCTCCTTATTTGATCAGGTATTATGTAGTTCTTTGTATACTCTAGGAATTAGATATAAATGTGTAAGGAACTAAGTCCGAGCTTTATTTTTATTTTACTTTTATTTTGCTTTTATTATATTTTTGTTTGGGGCTTATGTTTAGTTAGGACGAAGGTTTCCTCACCCATCACCCCAGAACGGTCAAAACGAGAAGATAAGGGATTAACCAACTCACCGACAACGAAACGACAGCTCCATAGCTAGAATTCACACTCACATGCACGCCCGAGCGGCAGAATTGTAAGTCCGCACTGAAGGGGGGACACCCCAATAGACTTTCTAGGAACTTATGTAACCTTAAACTAAACATCCCGATAATTGTTAAAGAAATGTTGTAAAAGGTTAACAAAGTATTGTCGAGAAATAAGCTACCAGATAACGAAGAGAAAACAAGAATGTTACGCGTAGATATGTAAATGAGGGGAGTGTCTCAAGTAGAACTGTGACGTCACCTCAGACTATAAGTACAGTAACTCAAGTGAAGACAGACGAGGTGAGCTCCTGAACCGAAAGCGTTGGTCTGCTGGTAGCAGTGAACAAGGTGTCGAATAGGAAATCCTAGTAGGAAATTGAAGGTTCGATTTTGACGATAGGAAAAGAGGAAAATCTTGAGTGGAGGAAAAAGGTTCCGAGTATCAATTGAGGTGACAGTTAGGATCAATAGTTATAAGAGAATTTGTAACTAAGTTAAGATTGAATTTTGTTTTGTCGGAATTCCAAGGGGAATAGTTTCTAAGTTAGAATAAGACTTAAGTTTGTCAGGTTGATTGTGATTTGATTTTTTATTTAATAAATTTGTTGTTTGTTTTATAAAACTTGTACATAGTGTTTGTTAGACTTGATTAAACATTTATTATTGAGAGATTTTTTTGTGACTAACTTTGTCCTTACTTTATTTCGGTGCACGCGAAAAGTCCAGGCCTGGCAACTAACAAACGCGAACCCGCGTAAAGTACCCGTTAGGTCCCAGCTCTTTAAGAAAAAATTCGTTGTAGAGCAAAACACTAAATATAGTACTTTACAAATGTTTGTTGTGTATGTGTTAAATAACCTGGTTACCCATCTTCCTTGAATAACAGTCACCTATCGATTCACTCATCGACCTCCCATTCAACAAACGAATCAACTCTCCAACTCAACAGTTGTTTATGTTTCACAAGTTAGGACGTGACCTTTAATGCCTTAAGTTCTTCGCCCGAGTTAACTCAGGCAGGTTACATAGCCTTACATAAAACTCGGTCCTTTCGGCCCCCAAAAACATTTTTGTTTTTTTTGAATTTTTGGAATGTTTTTTAAGTCTCCAAATTTTTTCAAAAACTTTTACCCATGCAAAAAAATTTTATCGTGATTTTAATTAGCCTTTGATAAGGCTCAATTAAGGCTTAATTGTTTTTTAATGGGATTTTTTATCAAAATTAATTAATCGTTCTAAAGTTGTAGTGCACGGATTTTCCTTCGGTAAAGTTATTTAAAGCTAGTTTCTGATGTCAAAAACCACCTCCAATAGTTAAATTTTTTTAATTAATAGATTTTATTATATACACGTTTAAGTCCGGGGGGGTCGGAAATCGCAATTAAAATTTGAATTTTTTTAAAATATTTAAAAATATACGGCCAGCTACAACTCACCCTACTACAAACCCTTTGCCTCCCGAGACTTCTATGAGAATTTCCCGGGAAATCGGACTTCAGCTGTGTTTAAGGTCATCCAGCTGTGTAAACAATGACTCATCGGCATCAAATTTCGCAGAAAGGCAAGACAAAGGAAAATAAAGTTTGAAGCTTTTTTTTCAAAATTAATGCATTTCTTTCATTTTTTTCAGTTTTAAGTATTTTTTATGTTTAATTACATTAATATCAAAAATTGCTGGGAACTTAAGGGGTTAATCGCTTTAGTTCCCAGCAATTTTTGATATTAATGTAATTAAACATAAAAAATACTTAAAACTGAAAAAAAATGAAAGAAATGCGTTAATTTTGAAGAAAAAGCTTCAAACTTTATTTTCCTTTGTCTCGCCTTTCTGGGAAATCTGATGCCGATGAGTCATTGTGTTTACAGCTGGATGACCTTGAGAACAGCTGGTGTTGGATTTCCCGGGGCATTCTCATAGAAGTCTCGGGAGGTGAAGGGTTTAAAGTAGGGTGAATACAAGCTGGCCATATATTTTTAAAAAAATACCGTTTTTTATTGCAATTTCTGACCCACCCCGACTTAATAAAACGTATATATAATAGAATATATTAATTTAAAAAATTAAAAAACTATCGGAAGTCGTTTTTGACATCAGAAACTAGCTTTAAATAACTTTACCGAAGTAAAATCCATGCACTAGAACTTTAGAACAATGAATGAAATTTGATAAAAAAATCCCATTAAAAAACAATTAAGCATTAATCATGCATAATTAAAGGTAGATTAAAATTGCGATAATTTTTTTTTGCACGGGAAAAATTTTTGAAAAAATTTGGAGGAAAAAAATTTCGGAGGGGACCCAAACGCCTGAATTTTATGTAACGCTATGTAACGCTATGTAACCTGCCCGAGTTAACTCGGGCGAGGAACTAAAGGGGTTTATCTTAACTGGTGTCAAATTCCTGACATTGGGCAGATCTTATAATCCCACCGACCACAAGCCCTCCTGTTTAAACTAGCCATCCTATGACAAAGTGAGCGAGTTCTGCTAACTCATTACCGGTAAGAGGGGTCAAAATTAACTCTCTACCCCTGGTTTCTCACATATTGGTGTCAGGAGTGGGATAGAAGCCCCCTTTCAGGAATTCTTTCGATAAGTGTCCAACCTAGACAGGTTTTTATCCAGCATAAATAAGTTTTTGAATTTTAAGATAAGTCATCCACTTTCCTCGCTGCCTTGCTATTTACAAGCATAATTAGATTTAAGCTAATTAGTTTAATACCTAACCATAATGGAGGAGAACGCCGGAGCAACATTAGGTTGTGGCTTAGTCCCTTTGCTCCCTTCCTTTTCTGGCAAGCTGGATGGCCCAAGCATCACAGACTTCTTTGAATCCCTAACAGATGTGGCAAAGGTAGCAGCATGGACTAAGCCGTAGATACTACACAGATACTAGCCGTAGCCAAGTTAAAACTAACACGAATCGCCTGATAATTTGTCAAAAAGGACAGAAAAATAAAGCATATCGACAACTATGACGTCTTTAAGAAACTAATGGTAGAGAGATTTGTGCAAAATCCATACTTTCTTAGACTACAATGATTATATGCCTGTGTCCAAAGAAGGGACAAGGATGTACAAACGTATGCGGCGCGATTACAGCTCCTGGCAATGGAGACAGAGATTGAGCAGGTAGGAGCTACTGTGGCTGAAGTAGCCATAATTCAACAGGTTCGGGACCCTGAGTTAGACAAAAGATTAAATATTAAATATCCAATTTTTGAACGGAATAGATTTAAAAATCAGACAGAGTGATGTCGTGAGAGCCAGCGACATTTGATGATGTGCTTAAGATGGAACTATAGTCAAGAGCAATGATCAAAAGACATTTTCTTTTATTCATTCATAGACTGATGCATTTTAGTTTTTATAATGAGAAAAGTTCCAAAATTTTGCAAAAATTGTCAATGTTTTATGTTGCAAGATAATAAAATAATCATAGTTAAAAAATAATAATAGTATTGAGTATTAATACTTTTGTGGATTATTATTTTTTCAGAAGGAAAAATTGTCAAAACAATAACAAACTTATGGCAGAGAGAGAGAGAGAGAGAGTTATCACAGGAATTAATAAGAAAGGATTGAAATGGGTAAACTTTATAAAGTGTATAAACTATCCGCTGCAGCAGATTTATGCAATGCAAAATTAAATTGCAAAAAAAAATCCATTATTTATATAATGAATACTGTAAAAGGTATCTGTTTTTGGTTGCATATTTACTGTCAGAAAATTCCCTTCAAATACAATACTAATGGGCAAAAGGATTAACTAATAGCAGTCTCCATTCTAATAGAAAACTGTTTATTGTGAATATCTCAAAATTGTCATTATGAATTGTCACCTTTGGCAAATTACTAATTCAATTATTTCTAAGCTAAATAACATTTTCAGTTTAATTTGTAAATGTAAATAGGAATACAGTAGAGTGTTGTTTATCTGAAAGTCGGGTATGCAAAAGCATTCCAGTCGGCAAATTTAAATTTTGCTAGTGCTGTGGCATTGCAATCTTTGGCTATATCTTGGGCTACTCCAATATTCTTTTTGTTGGTGTGTGTGTGTTTTAGCTGGCAGCACTGGCACTTTTGTGTGGTGTTTTTCTGAAGACTGTGTGTTGTGCGNTCGCGATTTTAATTAGCCTTTGATAAGGCTCAATTAAGGCTTAATTGTTTTTTAATGGGATTTTTTATCAAAATTAATTAATCGTTCTAAAGTTGTAGTGCACGGATTTTCCTTCGGTAAAGTTATTTAAAGCTAGTTTCTGATGTCAAAAACCACCTCCAATAGTTAAATTTTTTTAATTAATAGATTTTATTATATACACGTTTAAGTCCGGGGGGGTCGGAAATCGCAATTAAAATTTGAATTTTTTTAAAATATTTATTATTCTAACTTCAATTCAAAAATTGAAATTACTTCATTTTGTAAAGTCTTGTATATTTTAAAGTCCTTAATCGCAATTAAAATTTGAATTTTTTTAAAATATTTAAAAATATACGGCCAGCTACAACTCACCCTACTACAAACCCTTTGCCTCCCGAGACTTCTATGAGAATTTCCCGGGAAATCGGACTTCAGCTGTGTTTAAGGTCATCCAGCTGTGTAAACAATGACTCATCGGNATGCACAAGTGTATGTAATGTGATATGAAATAAACGCTATGTAACCTGCCCGAGTTAACTCGGGCGAGGAACTAAAGGGGTTTATCTTAACTGGTGTCAAATTCCTGACATTGGGCAGATCTTATAATCCCACCGACCACAAGCCCTCCTGTTTAAACTAGCCATCCTATGACAAAGTGAGCGAGTTCTGCTAACTCATTACCGGTAAGAGGGGTCAAAATTAACTCTCTACCCCTGGTTTCTCACATATTGGTGTCAGGAGTGGGATAGAAGCCCCCTTTCAGGAATTCTTTCGATAAGTGTCCAACCTAGACAGGTTTTTATCCAGCATAAATAAGTTTTTGAATTTTAAGATAAGTCATCCACTTTCCTCGCTGCCTTGCTATTTACAAGCATAATTAGATTTAAGCTAATTAGTTTAATACCTAACCATAATGGAGGAGAACGCCAGAGCAACATTAGGTTGTGGCTTAGTCCCTTTGCTCCCTTCCTTTTCTGGCAAGCTGGATGGCCCAAGCATCACAGACTTCTTTGAATCCCTAACAGATGTGGCAAAGGTAGCAGCATGGACTAAGCCGTAGATACTACACAGATACTAGCCGTAGCCAAGTTAAAACTAACACGAATCGCCTGATAATTTGTCAAAAAGGACAGAAAAATAAAGCATATCGACAACTATGACGTCTTTAAGAAACTAATGGTAGAGAGATTTGTGCAAAATCCATACTTTCTTAGACTACAATGATTATATGCCTGTGTCCAAAGAAGGGACAAGGATGTACAAACGTATGCGGCGCGATTACAGCTCCTGGCAATGGAGACAGAGATTGAGCAGGTAGGAGCTACTGTGGCTGAAGTAGCCATAATTCAACAGGTTCGGGACCCTGAGTTAGACAAAAGATTAAATATTAAATATCCAATTTTTGAACGGAATAGATTTAAAAATCAGACAGAGTGATGTCGTGAGAGCCAGCGACATTTGATGATGTGCTTAAGATGGAACTATAGTCAAGAGCAATGATCAAAAGACATTTTCTTTTATTCATTCATAGACTGATGCATTTTAGTTTTTATAATGAGAAAAGTTCCAAAATTTTGCAAAAATTGTCAATGTTTTATGTTGCAAGATAATAAAATAATCATAGTTAAAAAATAATAATAGTATTGAGTATTAATACTTTTGTGGATTATTATTTTTTCAGAAGGAAAAATTGTCAAAACAATAACAAACTTATGGCAGAGAGAGAGAGAGAGTTATCACAGGAATTAATAAGAAAGGATTGAAATGGGTAAACTTTATAAAGTGTATAAACTATCCGCTGCAGCAGATTTATGCATTGCAAAATTAAATTGCAAAAAAAAATCCATTATTTATATAATGAATACTGTAAAAGGTATCTGTTTTTGGTTGCATATTTACTGTCAGAAAATTCCCTTCAAATACAATACTAATGGGCAAAAGGATTAACTAATAGCAGTCTCCATTCTAATAGAAAACTGTTTATTGTGAATATCTCAAAATTGTCATTATGAATTGTCACCTTTGGCAAATTACTAATTCAATTATTTCTAAGCTAAATAACATTTTCAGTTTAATTTGTAAATGTAAATAGGAATACAGTAGAGTGTTGTTTATCTGAAAGTCGGGTATGCAAAAGCATTCCAGTCGGCAAATTTAAATTTTGCTAGTGCTGTGGCATTGCAATCTTTGGCTATATCTTGGGCTACTCCAATATTCTTTTTGTTGGTGTGTGTGTGTTTTAGCTGGCAGCACTGGCACTTTTGTGTGGTGTTTTTCTGAAGACTGTGTCGTGCTGAATTGAACATTTTTGATAATAAAATAAATTACAGTTTAGAAGTTAATCGTTTTTATATTTTTCAATATATTTATTTTGCTTGTAAAAAATAAAGAAATAATTTTTAACGATACAATAGCCACGATTATTATTTTAAAAAGTTTATGTTAGGCTTAACATCGATGAAAATTCAACGCAAAGCGACATGCAATAGAGAAAAATTTCAACATGGATTAGGTTAATATATTTTTTTGTATATAATTGGTTAACCAAAAAATAAGTTAGCTGAACAACCTGTCCCCAACTGATCTGGATAAATGACGCTCTACTGTACTTGTAAACAAAGATCACAAAACTGGTAAACAATTTTTCATTTATATAATAAGTTATTAAAACTTGGAAATTTTAACACTGAATCTGGAGAGTTTGCAAATTTATTACAATTGCAAATTCTCTAGTTACAACTTAAATTCAATAACAATACTTAAAAAAATTCAGAGTTTAATAATACAAATAAAATGTATATTTACTGTAGTTGCATATATTCCATTTAGTCCAAAATCTTTCTGATTTGAAAGCAGTTTTCCTGTAGTTCTCTGAAAAAAATAATAAAAACTATAAACTACTTAAATATATTATAAATTAAATATGTAATATATAAAAGTAAACATTGTAAATCTTATATCTACTACTAAAAGTAAGAGATTAAAATTATAAAAAAAATTGAACAACATATTAAATGAGCAAATATATTTGTTTTCATGATAACATTAGAAAAAATGATCTTCAATGCACTTATTCATATCAACATACAATTAAAAACTAAAGAAATTTTACATTGTAAATTATGAATGCATGAAGACCTAACAAAAGTTTTTCCAGCCAATATGTCAAGACAAAATTTATTTGTTTTATAAACAAATTGTTCTAACTAAATGCAAACCGATTAACCTTATAAATGAAATTCCAGTATAGTTTAATGCAGATAAAATACAAACATTTTCAATGTACTCCTATCTACATTGAAAATGTTTGTATATAGGAGATCATCTTCAGGCTAATGTGTTCCAAAATGGAATGTGAGGCAAGGGACATTTTAAAATTTTTTGGAAACGTTCAAATACATAAATAATGCACAAGTGTATGTAATGTGATATGAAATAAATTCTAACAAAACAAAATATAAGTATAAATGAGAATTTACAAAAAATTTTTTACGTCTTCTGTCATTGTTGGTATAAAGATTGCCATGCATATGATACTCATTTATAAAGAATTTCAGTTATAAGTTTCATTGATTTGCATTATTCTGACATGCTTTATTTCAGTCTTAAATTATTTAGAACAAATAGTTCAAACACTAACTTTAAAATAAAGAATCATTTAAAGAACAAGGTAATTTTTTTGTTTTGATCATTAACACTTTATAGTTGAATTTATGGAGAAGTCTTACTCAAAACCAGTTTGCCTCTAAAAGACAAAGGATAAATCTCTCTTGTTCAGATTTAAATGTTATTCTATGATGTTGGACAGCTTAGAATCATTCATAGTTGATGTAAGCATGTTTAATGAAAAAAAAATTATCATTTACACCATTGCATGGCATGTATTATTTAATATTTTTATGTTTTGTAAGATGTCTTCATGCAAAGCTATCAATTGATGAAGCTTTACATTTAATAAATGATAATCTCAGATCAGAAATAAATGGTTCTGATGCTGAAATCAAAGAAAACGAATCAAATTTAATCTCTATCAATGAAAACACCATAGTATTATATTAGACTTTTTAAAATTTTTTAAACACTTTTTTTCTTTTTAATGATTATTTGATTGAATTGTTTCAGGTTAATAAAAGTACAAGGAAACAAATCCCAAAATGTTGTGACAAATATTGGTTGTTTTATGATTTTTTAAACCCATCTACACAGGAGTTCACAAGAACTTACCCCAAATGGAAAGTGTTAATTAAGAATTATTATTAACGGAAACAATTTTCTAAAAGAATAACTAAGAAAATTTGTATTTTTATAACAAGTGTAGCTGTATTTATTTAGTCTTAACAAATAGTCTCAGAACTGTCTTTAAACCAGATTCAGAATAACAATATATTAAGCTGATCCAGAAAGTAAGTACCATTTGCGCATATCTCCCACGCATCTGACAGCACAAAGGTGGCGAATGCATAGTTACATCCTTCAACTCCAGAATGAATTATCATAACCATTTGTTTTGATTACATTAATGTTTGAAGTCACTGTTTGTTGGTAATCATGTTTAAAACAATCAATCAGTCCACCAGCTGTGACATAAGAGCAGTTATAAAGTTTTTCAATGTGAGAAATGTTCGACCTTGTGAAATTTATTGTCAGGTAAATTATGGAGAGAATGAGATGAGTGAGGATATGGTGTGAAAGTGGGTTAGGATGTTTGACAAACAAGTTTGTTCCAATAGGCGATTCACGATTTCTGATTTGTCAATGCATTTTCAAAACATTTCACAATCTTTATTACACAAAACTGTGACTGAACATTTGCACTACAAAAAATTGTGCACGCAATGTATACCAAAAACACTAATAGACGTTCAAAAACAAACGCTTGGGAGCAGCCTTGGAGTTTTTGCAGCATTATCCGACAGAAGGAAATGATTTTTTGAAAAGGATTGTCACAGATGAAACATAGATTTGTTACAAGACACCTAAATGAAATGACAGTCACTGGAATGGCGACACACTGGTTTGCTGAAATCCAAGAAAGCAAAGAATCATGAAATCGTGATTCTTCAAGAAAAATCATGTGCACCGTGTTTGGGGACTGTCAAGGAATTTTGTTAATGGACTGGATGGAACAAGGCACAACAATCAATGCTACAGCTTACTGCAAGACATTGAAGTTATGGCACACAACACAGAACAAAAGGCATGGACTACTGAATTCTGGCATTGTGTTCATGCATGACAACACGCAACTGCATACCACACGCATAAGATGATGCTGCTGCTTGATTCATTTTGCTGGGAACAATTCTGTCACCCTCCTTATAGTCTGGACCTAGCTCCATCCGACTTCCATTTGTTTTCTCATCAAGAAATTTCTTGCCAGCCACCTTTTCTTTGCAAGTGATGATGAGATCAAGGTAAATGTCCAGAACTGGTTCAGATCGCAGGTGGCCAAATTCTACAAAGTGGGTATTTTGCAATTAGTGCCAAGATATGACACATACCTTAATTCGCATGGGAAATATGTCAAAAAGTAGTTTAAGATATGTAGATTTTTCTGTAATAAAATACAAATGAAAACAAATTGAAAATCTTTTTTAATACCCAAACAGTACTAACTTTCTGGATGAGCTTAATATTATTATAGTCAAAATTGTAATCTTTGATTAGATTATTATTACGAGAGTCATTCAATAAGTCCTTAGAAAATCCATAGATGGCACTTGTAGCATCGAAAATGGCTTGTTTTTATTAAGCATCATGACTCACTAGATAGCTGTGAAATTCTCAGTCATATCCATCACATGGTTTCATTTTTATTGTCGGTGAAGCAAGAAACTTTTGTTTATTTAGAAAAATGGAAAAAAGCGAGTTTCAAGCAATGATTAAACACTTATATTTAAAAGGCTTAACACCGAAAGAGATCAAAGCTGAGTTGGATGAAGTTCATGGCACATCTGCTCCTGTGTTTGCAACTGTTTACAATTGGGTAAATGAGTTCAAATGTGGCCGTACATCCACAAAAGACGAACATTGTTCGGGATGTCCAGTGGATGTGACTACTCCTGAAATGATTGACAAAATCCATGATATGGTTTTGAGTGATCGACGAATCAAAGTGCGCAAAATAGTTGAGGCCACAGGGTACAGTGTACATCGCAAGGTACAGTGTTTTCAATTTTGCATGAAAAATTGTGTGTGAAAAAATCTCAGCAAGATGGGTGCCGCATTTTCTCTCAGTGGACAATAAACATAATTGTGTGGTCGACTCAGGCTATATTGGCACTTTTTTGTTGCAATCCTGATGAGTTTCTGCATCGATACATAACTGTGGACGAAACATGGATATACTACTACACTCCAGAAACAAAGGGACAGTCAAAACAGTGGGTTTTTGAACGCAAAAGGGCTCTGAAGAAGGTGAACATGGTGAAATTGGCCATAAAGGAGATGGCCACGGTTTTTTGGGATACATGTGGAATCATCTACACCGATCACTTGGAAAAAGGAAAAACAATAACTGGAGAGTATTATGCATCAGTTGAGCGAAGTAATCAAGAAAAATGTCCTCGTTTGAAAAAGAAAAAGATCCCTTCCATCAAGACAATGTACGGGTGCACACCTGTGCAGTTTTGATGGCCAAAATCATGGAATTAAAGTTTGAATTATTACAACATCCACCGTATTCAGCCTCCAGTGACTTTTTTTTATTTCCAAACTTAAAAAAATGGATCGGCAAACAATGGTTTACGTCAAACAAGGAGGTCATTGCCCAAACAGATGCCTATTTTGAGGACCTTCCGAAATCTTATTTTTTAGATGGCTTAAAAACATTGGAGAAATGCTTGGAAAAGTGTATAGAGTTTAAAGGAGATTATGTTGAAAAATAAAAAAATCTACCTAAAATAATTTATTTTTCTATCTTTTTCTAAGGACTTATTGAACGACCCTCGTATTAGCACCTAAACAAAGATTACAAATCTCATATTAACAATAATATGTTATATTTATATCACACATCTATGTTAAATGACCACTGTTGTTAAAAATATAATGGGTTGAACAGAAAGTTTCTGTATAACCTTTAATTATTAACCATGGCATCCAAGAAGTGTGTGGAAGGCTATAATATTGCAAAGTGAGATGATAAAGGTACCGTATTTTTGCGAAATGACCAGTATGTCAATCTATCCAAAGAAATCATGAAATCAGATATTTCCATATAGTAAAAACTGGAATGCCAATTTATCCCAGGGAATGCTGGCATGAGTGAGATTATACATCCCTCTCTAGAAGGCACATTAAAAAAAATGAATGAGTTTTTATTCTAAAACTGTGAAACTGTCAGCATTATATTTTGATGTAATGCCTACAGTCAAAAACCACAACTTTATGTTTATTTTTTTAATTTAATGTCTTCTTTCTAACGATGTAAAGTACTAGTGGAATTTCAGTGGGTATTTTGTGTCTTTTTTTGTGTGTATTTTATTGTTATTTTATTCAAAAATGAAAAATAAACATATTAAGAAATTTTTCTGTAAATTATCTCAACTTATACCAATTAACATCCACTTTGTGTGAAATTTGAGAGGAACTTGTTATTTTTAAGGTCAGGGTAGATGGTCAGTGTAGCCCACACTGACTGACTACAGTAGACCCCCATATAACATGGGTTCATATAAGACATCCGTCTTAGATGAACCCATGTTATATACCCGCAGATTCATATAACCCGGCAGAAAAATTGCGATTGTGTTTGTATAACACAGTAAAAGAATGAGACAGATTGTCATTGCCGACTCATGTCTCGACAGGATTGGTCAAATCTGGATGAGCAGCAGATCTATGTGAGAGCTGCCAGTATAGCAAGTACA